AAATTGGAGTCTATTCCAAAGTTCCACATTTCTCATGACTGTAACATCAGAATTGAACTTTTCGTGCATGCCTGAATGAATTTCTGGTTACGGATGAATTAATGGTTACGTAATGCAAGGGTTCTTAGCCCAGGAGAAGCTGTGTTACATCAGGATCTTTGTATCTCATAGGAGACTCTCATGGGACCGCGCAGAGCGATTACGGAAAACGCTAAAAAAAAATTCCGCAATTATATCTGTGGGATACTTTTCTTTCTCCGATTGGATTTCACCTAAATGTTTGCATTCCTCCTCACACATTCAGTATGGTAGGTAATCCATGCCTAATCCATTTCCTCGCTGAGCTCTAAAAAGTCTTTACGAGAGGAATGGGCTGCGCCCTGGATTGATCGTTGTTTTCGTCACTAATAAATCGGAGAGAAATAATATTATGAAAATGGAAAATAAGGGAGAAAAGTAGCATGTAACGAAAGCAAAAAGATAATAAAATTAACTAAAAAGTAAAGGTTTCAAATAGGCATAACTGAAAACTCTTACATGTCAAAGATCAAATGACGAGGGATGGGGGGGGCTAGGGAGAGGGTGTTACAAATATAGGTGCATCTCTATGGCTGCCCCTATTTTATAAAAGCTTTCGCAGGGAGCGATAATCGTCGACCAATACCCTATTACGAACTGGAATGAGTGCAAGATCTTATGACTGAGGAACAGCAGGGATTACTACACTTTCTCTCTGGCGGAATTTTTTTTTTTTCCATTAGGGAGTGAAACCGGAAAAATCACAATCTCGTAATATTCTTTGCGCATTGGTTGGGAGGAAAGGGAGGAAAACAGGAGAGTTACCATCCCTACTCATACCAGATGTTGGATGCCTCGCGAGTGGAAATTCTGAAGTATCAATATTATTGAAATATCTTTTAATGCCGAATCCTTTCAAGCGAACGTGGAAAAAGATGGATTGTGAAGCAAGGGATGAAAAAAAATTTTTTTAGGAAGTAGTGAGACAGCGGTGTGCTGGCGCCTCGCATCTCCCATGCACGGGAAGAGAAGTCTAGACAGGGGGGAAAAAAAATGAGCGAGAGGGAAAGAAGGATCACGCATCGTACACTATGCTGGCCATTTAAGGCACAACTGGGAAAAATCCTACCATTCCTACCTAATCCTACCGGTTCACCTGGAAAGGCGATGTAGGTGTTATCTGGTTATTCCATCACACCATCGACTCTGAGGAAAGCAGCTCGTAGTCGTAGACGATGAAAGCGGCACGCAGGAGAAACGCGGTCGATTGCTGCATGATACTTCAACATGGCCTCAGTCAAATCGCTCTTGGTCAGAGGAGACTCAAAACATTCGCGCATGATTCGGCAGCCAATTTTTATAGTCGTTTCGAAATATATTGTCCTCGTTTTGAGGATACTCGGTCCAAAGGGTTGAACTAATTCCTTATCCAGATTAGGTCTTTTTTCCAAGTCTCGGAGATGCAAAATATTGTGACGGATGAGGATGGCATATTCTCGGCCGTTCCTTGGCTTTCTTTCGGCCTCTCACGCCTTCCGTCGTCAGTCCATCGTTCCTCCCTCCGTACCAATATCTTAGAAGTGCCTTCGTTCCTTGGGAGAGAATGAGGGGAGGAAATATTTAAAGCCCCTCTGTCTATTAATTTGTATGTGTTTTGATCCTTTGAGCTCTCCCTTCGTTGCGTAGGATAATTTGGATTCCTTATAAAGTTGTATGACCCTGATTCATTCGTGTGAATTTTTGTTTCCTATCTCCATTTTAATGCCCCCAAAATTAACAACCGTGCCGAAAGACATTTATCCGCACCCATGTTTTCATAAGGAATGCCTTCAGGAGAGAGTAGACAGGTGAGCGGTGATGTGCTGAGAGGACTCTCAGGCGGGGGAAGCGAAAGCGGTGCATTTGATGAAAAAAGAGGCGTCATAGGTACAAGGGGAAAAAAATCAAAAGCGATAGGCGCCAGTTGAAGTCGCGTCGGTCCTCTTTCCCCGTTTCACTCACACAGACACACACAATCAAGAGCACGCACAAGTCTGTGCGAAGCGGGAGGGAAGTCAAAGAGGGAAGAGCTGCTCGCGAGCATTCAAGTTTTCATGCAAATCGGTAATTAAAGCCTCGCA